AGGCCAGGGATGAGTTTTCAAGGGATCTTGACACAGATCTGTCAAGTGACAACGGCAGTGGGATTAGTCAAGATGCCACCGGAGGAACTTGGCTCCATCAGCCTCGTCCCGGCTGAGTGGCAGCTCCAATTAATTAAGGCATGTTCTGCAGAGGGCAGGTATTTTAATTGTTTTGGGTGGCTTAGCAGCCAGCAGAGCAGAGCAAACAGCAACCTCTCTTTCTGCTCCGTTTGCCCCCCCCCAAAAATATCCCCGTTGCACAACAACGTGTGTGCAGGAAGGACAGCAGGAATGTGGCTGTGCAGGGTGGGTTGGGAGCAGATAATCCTTCCCCGGGCTCTGTTGTGCCAGATGACTCCCTGCAAGCTTATTTTTAGCCTCATTCTCTCCCTTGGCCCCATTAAAGCCGCTATCTGAGCATCTCTCAATGGATTGGGCCCCGATAACATCTGTACAAGGCAGAGGAATGGAAACACAGCGTGACTTGCCCCAGGCCACGAGGGAAATGTGGAGCACAGAGAGTGATTGCTGGTCCTTAAGTGTCAGATCACGTGGCCTCCCCACCCCACAAACTCTTTTAGAGCCAGTTTTTAATCAGCTGCCGCAAATTGGGGTGATTTCAGAGGAACTTGGGGATGTTTTTCAGGTGCTGGATGTGATTTCTAATGTGCTGTAGGAAGTGCTTTAAGGCCTCCCCTTCATTATCTCCACAGAGATGATGAATCTTAATTAATGCTCCCAGTGAAACCGTAGAATCTCACTTAGTTCCAGATCTACTGTCATGGGCAGGGACCCTTTCCCCTATCCCAGGTTGCTCTAAGCCCTGTCCAACCTGGCCTTGGACACTTCCAGGGATGGGGCAGCCACAGCTTCCCTGAGAATTCCATTCCAGCCCCTCCCCACCCTCCCAGGGAAGGATTTATTCCCAATATCTAATCCAAATCTCTCCTTTTGTACATTTAGGAATTGTGTATCACCACACAAGGAAATCTCAGCCTTTGGAAAAGTGCAGCTTGGGAAAAGAAAAAGAAAACTTTTTATTGTCCAGCTGTTTATTATTTTAATAAATGCACCATGGTTTAATCCTGGAGGAACAGAAATCTCTTGCATACATGGGAAACTGAGTTGTTTCAAGACCCTGTCCTCGATTTTAGGCCTTTTAGAAGTGTGGAAAGGACAGAAAAAAAGCTTATGAAGCTGCACAAGAAGGAAATTGGGCGAAAAACCACCCAGAGAATTCTTTGTCAGATAAATGTTTTGTGCTTGAGTGTCATGCAAAAAAAAACAGTTCTTGGGACTGGTTTTTCATCATTCAAAAAGTAAACTGTCCCTCAGCCAGGGCTTGCAGTGCTGTGTGGTGCCAGGGATCTGACAGAGGGTGCAGACCAGAGCAGGAGCCACCGAGTCCTGCTGATGTTTGTCAGGGGTTTACAAGGCAGAAGCTCTTGGGCAAACACCCCAGCCTCTTCCTGGTCCTGCCCTGGCCCAGCCCAGGTTCTGATCCTTGGCTGAGTCACTGATCTACCCCAGTTCAGCACCTCCTAACCCTTCCCTGAATTTAGAGGGTTGTTTTGGAGGCCGTTCTGTGGCTGACCTGGATGGAGAGTGAGGGTTTGTGCTCCTTGCAGAGCTGTGCCAGGGGGACCCACCAGTCAGGGGGGGTTTCCTGCCCTGTTCTTGGCTGTGTCTGTCCCAGTCAGGACCTCTCCCAGTTGCACCTTCTCTAAGCCATTTAACCACAGAATATGAGGAGTGGGAAGGGATCCACAGCCACAGAACCACAGAATGGTTTGGGTTGGAAGGGACCTCAAAGACCATCCAGTTCCCACCCCCTGCCATGGGCAGGGACACCTTCCACTAGCCCAGGTTGCTCCAACCTCTCCTGGGCAACCTGTGTCAGGGCCTCCCACTTACAGGGAACAATTTCTTCCCAATATCCAATTTAAACCTGTCCTGTGTCAGTTTGAAGCCGTTCCCCCTCGTCCTGTCCCTCCAGGCCCTTGTCCAAAATCCCTCTTCAGCTCTCTTGGAGCTCCTTAAGGTACTGAAAGGCCACAATAAGGTCTCCCCAGAGCCTTCTCCTCTCCAGGCTGACCAGCTCCAACTCTCTCAGCCTTTCCTCACAGGAGAGGTGTTCTCCAGCACCTGAAAACTCCAGTTACATAATCCCACGGGAGAATCACTCAGTGGTCAATCCTGGGCTCCTTCCAGGGTATGTTCAGAGAAGAAACTGGGAGGAGGAATCATCCCTTCAGCCTCTTAAGTGTGTAGACATCAAGTGTCAACCACCACAGGTCAAACCCCAGCCTCTGGCTCCTGCAGAAAACTCCTGAATTCTGTGCTCAAGATGTCATTGTCACGTGGGACCAGCATGCTAAACCAGAGCTGAGCAGCCCCTGTTCCTGCTCACCTGTCTTATATTTGGGGATGAATCCCCAAAATTCCTATCCCTGGAAGTGTCCAAGGCCAGGTTGGATGGGGCTCTGAGCAGCCTGGAACTGGAAGGTGTCCCTGCCCATGGCAGGGGGGTTGCAACTGGATGACCTTTAAGGTCCCTCCTGACCCAAACCCTTTTATGATTCCATGGATGTGTTTGACCTCTCCAGAGGTTGGGAGAAGCTCATCCAACATCCCTGGGGACTCCAGTGGCTCTGGCTCTGGGTAACATGCTTTGGCATTTAACTCCCAGTCTCCAGAAAGGACTGCTGTGGCCAAATTCCTTGTTGGGAAAGGGCCACTGGACGTGGGCAGGCCTGACTGCCTGGGAATTTCAACAGTGCAAGGACGTGATTCCCTGGAATGGGGAGTTCATGGAGCTGGTCATCCATGCAGACAACAGCCTGGCTGGGAGATGTGCAGCTGGATAAGCCCCTTTTCAGTGCTCTGACTCAGGAGGGTTGGAAAAGCTGGAATAAATCATCCCGTATCCTCTCACCACCAGTAACCAGATGGGACTCCTATAAACAAGGTGGTTCATGCCGGGTTTTCCTTCAGGGGAAACCCCTTCCCTGCTTCCTACAATTAGCAGCTTGTTAATGCCCTGCATCCCAAGGATTTACTGTACTTTCCTCTTTCACAACAGCGGGCATTGTCATTACCTTCTGCCATCCCACTGCCTGCATCCCACATGGAATGCTGGCCCTTGTCCCGTGGTTTTTGGGTCCCCCAGGTGACTCATCTCCGCTAGGGGGATGATTCTTTTTATTTAAAGATGACTCTGCACACCCTTTGAAGTTCCAGTAGTTCTTAAGGTGTGAGAGAGGAAAATGGGCCTCTTGGCCAATCTCCCTCTCCTTTTAATCCTCCTCCCAGTGCTGCCCTGACTTCTCAGCTCCTTCACTTCATGGTTCTTGTTGCTCCCACCCAGATCCATCTCCACACTCTTCTTTGCCTTTGTTTGTTGTATTTTATAAGGAAACCCTTCCTGATGCACTGGCCTTGACCAGAATGTTCTCTACCTTGTTTCTCAGGTCCCTTCCCATTTGTTTTGCTCAGAAAACCTAATTAAGAGTTTCTTTCTGGTCTTTTTGTACTTTCCCTGCTGCTTTTGTCAAAGGATCTCCCGGTGTAAGGTGGGAAAATAGAGGTTTATATCCATGAAATAAAACATCTGGAGAAGGCAAAGCATAATTTAGGGTTTGTAAGTGCACAGAGAAGCTGTAAGAGTATTTGAGAGAAATTAAACCCGTGAAGTTTACCTTGCTCTCAGACACCTCACTGGTACCAGGAGCCAAGAGGGTTTGAAGTGGTTTTCCACATATTTGAAGCTGGAGTGTTGGCACATTCCTTGCACCAGGAAAAGTGGGCGAAACATGATGTTTGTGTCAGTGCCAGGGGTTGTTCTAAGCCACTTCTTCATCAGATGTGAACTGAATCTACATGGGACAGGTGGAGACAGACAAACAAGGACTCTCAGGAGTGGGGAAAGATCATGGAATTCTGGAGTCACAGGATGGTTTGGGTTGGAAGGGAACTTATAATCATCTTAAAATCATCCCTGCCTGTGGGCAGGGACACCTTCCACCAATCCAGGTTGCCCCAAGCCCCGTCCAACCTGGCCTTGGACGCTTCCAGGGATCCAGGGGCAGCCACAGCTTCTCTGGGCAACCTGTGCCAGGGCCTCCCCACCCTCCTAGGGAAGAATTCCTTCCTTACATCCAATCTTAATCCACCCTCTTTCAACCTAAAGCCATTATCATGGATGAAGGAGGAAAATGCCCATTACAGGGAAGGGAATGAAGGACTGCGTGGGTATCTCATGACCTCAGCAAATCTGTTGGAAACACCAGTCTCACCCTCCTGCTCAGCACTCCTAATCCTGTCCTGGGCACCTCAGGAAGAGAGTAGTCAGCTCTGTGCTTTTCCCTAAACCCCCACTCCTGTTTTCCTCCATGTTTTCCCCAAACTTGCCTCCTCCTCATCCCTCACTGGCTGTGTTTCACCACGTGGGTGCTCCATCAAGGAGGGGGAAAATGGATCAACTGGTTCTCTCCACCAGATGGATGTGGCACCACTCCCTCCCCACCACCCTCTGGACCTCCATCCAGCCAGTTCTTAACCCAGCCAAGAATCCACCTTGTCCAAGCCGTTCCCAGGAGAATGCCGTGGAAAACTGCACCAAAGGCTTTACTGAAGCCCAGGCAGACACATCCACAGCCTCTCCCTCATCCTCTAGGTGGGATTCCTGCCCATACCAGGAGATCAGCTCACAAGGACCAAGGATGAAGAAGACCTTCCCACCCTGCAGTCGCTGCTGGGACAGAAACAGGGGGGCTGAGCGATGAACAGGCAACACTCCGACACTTGATTTGGAAACAAGTTTATTTGAGGTGCTTTGCAGGCAGCGTGAGCACGTATTTTCTGACCTGGCAGCGCTACAGCTTTGCAATGAAGGAGGAACCATCATCTGGCAGAGAGAGCCATCAGCTCCAAGCGTGCCGGGGCGCCCGACACACCGCGGCGCTCCTGCTTACAATTCTTGGGCGCTCCGAGACTTCCCCTGCTCGTGGGAGGCCTCTTGGCTCCTCACAGCTTGTTGTTCAGGAAGAGGCAGAGCAGGCCAGCTGCTACCCCTCCTGCCATCCCGTAGCTGGACCTGACGGAGCCCGCGGCGTTGGCGTTGCAGAAGTCGCTGCTGCAGCAGGACACGTTCCTGTTGCCCACGTTGAAGTCCTGGTAGGAGCTTTCACAGGACGAGTCACAGCCCTTGCTGATGATGCTGAAGAGCCCCACGACCCCTGGGAGGAAAGCAGGAGCGTCAGCACAAGGGCTCAGTGCGAGCCAAGCCTCTTGGAACTGAGGGATAATTCTGATCTGAGCTCGTTCCTTGGGAGCAAAGTCAGAGAATCCCAGAATGGGTTGGGTTGGAAGGGACCTGAAAGTTCATCTCATTCCAACCCCCTGCCATGGGCAGGGACACTAGCCCAGGTTGCTCCAAACCCCATCCAACCTGGCCTCGGACACTTTCAGGGATGGGAGACAGCCACAGCTTCTCTGGGAATTCTATTCCCAGAGAATATATTATATATACCCTTATATTAAGAATTTCTTCCCTCTGTCATTGTTAATCCCTATCCCACATATCTTTCTTTCAGCAGCCTTTCAAAACCCAGGAAACTCATCTGTGCCCACTTCAGATGGCAGAGTTGTTGTTTGATTTGGTTCTGAGAGGCACAGCCCAATTTTTTGGCCAGTTTCTGCTGTTTTCCGGCAGATTTTTGATCACTGTGAGATCCCCTGATCCTGTGCAATCTATTCCAGGCATCAGCTTTTTGCCATAGGCTATAAATAGAATCAAGTTTGTTATAGAGTGTGTTGGTTCTCCTGCCTGGGAATGTCATGAATTTACCCATTTCCCACCAGGACAATTCCTAGCAGAGGTGTCACATCCACTGCCTGACAGGGAGGAGTTTGAACATCTTATTGATGTCCCTGGGTCTAAGAGCAGCTGAGCTGTCACCAGAGATCTGGTGAGGGCAAACCAGCTCAGGAATGGGAGAATAAAATCCTGAAGACACACAGATGGCTCCATTCGGAGCTGGATGTAGGAGAAATCCTCTCAGTTTGCCTGAAATCACCCAAAATCAGCTCTCAACAACAGGGGTTTCACCAGACTCAGCCCCTCACATTTTAACTCGTGTTTGCAGGTATTTCAAAGCCATTTTAAACTTGATTATTGCCCTAGTAAGGAAATGATTTTGGGTAGTAGGAAAGAGAATTAAACCTAATTTTGTAACGGGTGAGGGACATTTGCACTCTGAGCTTTGAGCCCTGAATGCCCACCCCTGGTGTATCTGGACTAGGTGAGGTTGGACTGGACACCTGAGGCTGGGGACAAGTTTGGCTCCCAAATTCCAGCTGGGACATTTCCCCCCGCCGCCCATCCCTCCCTCCCTTTTACTTACGGATCACATCTGTCTTGCAAGTCGTGTCCTTGGCACCGCACGTCATCTTGGTCATACACTTGGAGTTGCTGAGCTGGGACTTGCAGCTGTAACATTGCAGAGAGGAACCTGCAAGAGGAATCAGAAGCCAAATAATGGAATGATAAAACTGTAGAATTACAGGAAAAGTTTGGGTTGGAAGGGACCTTCAAGGTCATCCAGTTCCAACCGTGCCGTGGGCAGGGACACTTTTCACTAGACCAGGTTGCTCATCCTGGAATATCTCAAGGGATGGGGGGATTTGGGCATCTCTGAGCAACCTGATCCAGTGTTTTATCTCTCTCATGGTAAAAAGTGTCCTCATTACAGGAGATCTGAATCCATCTTCTTTTAATTTTAAACAATTAGCCCTTGCAGACCCTCCTAAAAACGTTGTCTCCAGCCCTCCTGGAGCCCCTTTAGGCCCTGGAAGGGGCTCTCAGGTCTCCCTGGAGTTTCCCTTCTCCAGGCTGGACATTCCCATTTTTTTTTGGGTGGAGAATAACACACCTGCCTGAGGTGAGAGTCATGTTTTGCAGGTGCTGAAGATATTCCAGATGTGGGCAGGGCAGGGAGGGAGCAAAGAGAGATCAGAGCTAAAGCTGGGCTTGAAGAGAATCCCAGGATGGATTGAGTTGGAATGGATTTTATATATATATGGACATTTTATACATGGACTTTTAAAATATATGTATATGGAATTTATAAATATATATATGGACTATATGTGGATAAAATATCTATATTTTAATATAGATATTTATCGACTTTAGATGGATATATGAACTTTACATATATATGGACTTTAGATATATATGGACTTCATATATATGGACTTTAGATATATATGGACTTTACAGAATTTATAGATATATATATATATGGAATTTATAAATATGGATTTTATAAATATGGATTATATATATATATATATATATATATATATATGGACTTTAGTCCCATGACCACCTCACTTGTCTTGTGAATCCCCCAAATCACTACCCTAATGCCTAAAATCCTAATTTAGGAAGAGGATTTCCAGTATTTACAGAAAAGCCTTGAGTAGAAATCAGGGTTTTTCAGGGCAGGAACAAGAAGGGGCTCGAGGCACTTGGTCCCCCTCTGGCCGAGCTGTTCTGGTGTGAATGACTGACACTGTGACCAAATTCCACCCATCCTGTCTATCAAATAACACACCAGGACATCCTCCTTTTTCCTGCCCTGCTAAAATCCCCACTAGCAGCATCAGAGGCGGCTTTTGAAACCAAGAGGCAGAAAGAGAAGAAGTTGGAAGGAAACTCACCTTTGCAGAAACGTCGCACTTTGGAAAGCCCGGGGAGCAGAAAAATAATCCTCCCGCCCCTCTTAACCCCCTCCCTTCCCTTCCCAATGATATGATCTGGTTTAAACACAACTTGGGCTTCAATTAGTTCGGTTTTGTGGAGGATTTATCCCTCCTGGAAGCTGCTCTGGGATGGCACCACGGCCGAGGTGGAACTACACATTCTTTTTTTTTTTTTATTTTTTTCCCTGTCAAAAAGCAAATTTCCTTGGGATGAGGAAAAATTCCCCCTCCCTCCCTTCCAAATCCCACCACGAGGCTGGGGATGCAGGGGATGCAGGGCGGGTGCCTTACCTGAGCGCAGGCACAGGAGGGCTCCCAGCAGGAGCACGAGGAGAACCTTCATCGTGGGACTGATTGGAGCTGGGCAGGGGCTGATCCCTGGCCAGGGCACCTTAAATACCTGGGCAGGCGCAGGTGTGGCATGCCCAGAAGGGCATCATCCTTCCAGGCCACCCGAGATCTCTCTCCGCTCGCTCTGCCCGGAGGGAGGGGTTGGCTCCGTGGGGCTGAGATTTGTGTCGAGGTGCCTCTCTCCTCCCTCCTCCCTTCCCCTCTCGCAGCTCCCCCGCAGCCCCCGCACCCCCCTCCCCGCCCCGTCCCCTCGGGCCAAGCGGCCACGCGAGTGGAAAAAGCCCCAAATTCTTGCGGACAAGGACGGCCTTCTGAGTTTCTTTCCCCCGAGCCAGCGGGGCTGCCTGGGAAACGAGGCTCTCCCACCCCCACGGCCGCCCTGAGTGGGGCCTTTGTGTTTAAAGCAGGGACAAAAAGTTCTTTTAATAAACAACTCCAGCTATTTATCGGCGCGTGTGAGCGACGCTCATGTGATAACAAGGTATGTGGTGGCGAGGTATGCGGAGAAATGAAAGTTCATCGGCTTTTGCCGGGTCGTTCCAGGAGCTTTTCGAGGTGCTCGTTCCCATGTATTGTCCGTTTTCTGGTAAAAAAAGCAGTGGGCAATTCTAAATTTTTATTAATTTTGTTCATGTTGTTATTTTTTATTTTATTAATTTATTATAATTTTGTTGACATTTAATGTTTATTAATTTTATTTTTATTAATTTTGATATTTTTATTAATGTTATTAATTCTATTATTTTTGTGGAATTTTAATTTTTATTAATTTTATTAATTTTGTTATTTTGATACTTTCCCAAAATTATTGTTTTTTATTAATTTTATTAAATTCGCAGACATTTTTCATTAATTTTATTAATTTTGTTATTTTTATTAATGTAATTAATTTTGTTATTTTTGCTGATTTTTAATTTTCATTAATGTTATCAATTTGTTATTTTGCTAATTTCCCACATGCATTAATTTTTACCAATTTATTACTTTTGTCATCTTTGTCGATTTTTAATTTTTATTAATTTTATTAATTTGTTATTTCGTTAATTTTCCAGATTTATTACTTTTTATTACTTTATTAATTTTGCTTTTACATTTTTGATTTTTTAACTTTTCATTCATTTTATTAATTTTATTAATTTTATTTTTTGTTATTTTTGTTAATGTTATAAATTTATTAATTTTTATTAATATTAATAAATTTGACTGATTTTTATGTGTGCTGAAACCAGAGGGACTTTCCGGTGGTTTCGGTGACACTTTCACTGCGCTGTGACACCCATCCCTTTGTGTGCCCGTCCCTCTGCCTGGCACAGGTCTGGCATGTTCCTGACACTTGACTCGCATCACATGTCGTGTCAACAGCCCGGGCTTGTCACAAAAATGCCACTTCTGATCACAGAGAGGGTGAGTGGAGCCACATTCCAGCCTCGAGTGGCTGTTTGCTCCGGTGGGTTGTCCCGAGTCCTCTCCCATTCCTCCCATCCTGTGACCACTTCTCAGGACGTGCCAGGGGAGAAGAAAACAGGTTATTTTTTTTCTAAATTCAATGCTTAATTTAGTGGGTTTTTTCCTTCAGGGACTCGCTCCAGGACACTTCCCAAATTTCAGATTGTTGGGGGATCGTTGTCCTCCACCAGCAGCTGTGGGATGACTGATGGGGGGTCAGCTGGACTAAAACTTCTGCCCTGATTTACACCAGTGGAGAATCCAGTGCTGGACATGATTTTACAATCCCCACTTCCCCTGTGGGGATCTTCAGGACTTCCACTTGGACTCTCCTGTGTAAAAAAATACCTGAAAAACCAGCCCAACACCTTCTTTTTGTGTCTGTTGACTTCTACTTCCTCAGATTTTTGCAGAGCACCTCATTTGTAGCCAATTTTATGGATTAAAGATAAGGCAACACGTTCTCAGACTGGTTTTCCTCATTCAGGGCTATTTAAGGCTATTTTTCCTCTTTTTAATCCCTTATGATTTTCCCTGTAGGGTTTGAGTCTTTATTAGGGAAGAACAGGGCAAGGGGGCAAAACAAAACCTCCCCATCAAGTCCATCCAGGCCTTGAATTAAATATTTTTTTTCCTTCAAAAAACCTCATGGATGAGGAAGTTGGAGAGCTCTTTTCATCTTCAGTAGCTTCATTTTCTGTCAGTCAAGCTCTCCTAGACCTATTATTTTTGTTATTTTTTTCAGCATTAAAAAGGGTTTCCAGCAAAGAAAAGAACTTGTGGAGCTGTGAAAGAGAAACTCTGAGCTAAGAGCTTGTCAATCCTCCAGTCCTGCCGTGGGAGATCCCGGAAATTCCTGTATCCTTGGAGAAACTGTTGATTCTCAGTGTTTTTTGGAAGGTTTAAAGTGCAGTTCCTGCCCGACTCCTGAAGATGGCAAACGTGTCCCGTTAGAATTCCACACCCGTAAACAGGCAGTTGTCCATAGGACCGCGTGTGTATCCCGTCACTTTTATTTTCCCGAGGTCATAAAATCCCCAATTATTCTGCTTTCGTGGCAAAACCCATCCATTTCCCGTGGGAATCTACTGATGTCAACAAATCACTCGGGTTTGGGTTGTGGGTTTTTTTGTTTTTTGTTTTTTTTTTTTTTTTAAACCTATTTTATGTTGTCACTGCAGATTCCTGATGGATATAGATCTAGAGATCCCTGTTTGAGAAGGAGGGAAACAGGGCTGGATTGTCTGCCCTGTCCCTGGTGTCAGGCTGGGAAGATGGTGACGGCTCATGGTACAGAGTGTGGTGTCATGGACTGTGCTGAGGTGCAGGAATGAGCTGGAAAGTTGAGGATAAAATGGGCAATAAGTGCCAGGGAAATCTGGACAGAGAAACTGGGGATCTCCAAAGGCAAAAGGAAGTTGCTCCAAATTCCTGGGCTGTGACAACCACTTGGTGAAGTCACCTGAAGAGGCTGGAGGGAAGCCTGGAAGATGACAGAGAGCTTAGAAACATGGAATGGTTTGGATTGGGAAGGACCTTAAAGGTCATCTCATTCCAACCCCCTGCCATGGGCAGGGACACCTCCCACTGTCCCAGGTTGCTCCAAATCCCATCCAGCCTGGCCTTGGACACTTCCAGGGATGGAGCAGCCACAGCTTCTCTGGGCAACCTGTGCCAGGCCCCTCATCACCCTCACAGGGAAGGATTTCTTCCTGATATTCCGGGTAAATTTAACCTCTTCCAGTCTGAAGCCATTCCCTGTGTCCTGTCACTCCAGACCCTCACCAAAACTCTCTCCAGCTTCCTTTGGCCACATGGAGAACAAAACCCACTTGTGATCAGATACAAGGTTAGAAAAGGGAATCCAGGACCAGCCGCTCTGTTTCCTCCTGACTCCTACATATCCATCCACCCCTCTCTGAACGTCTCTCTATATATCTACTCATTTTGAAATCCTTCTCTCCCCTTGTCTCTCCATCTGTGTTCCTGCCCATCCAATCCCATGCCTCGTTTAGGATCCAAGCTTCTCTCCTTCCACACATCCTGATGGGATTTGTTCTATTCCCACTGAGTGACTCATCCTCCTTTATTCCCCACCCATCCCAATTTGGGACAGCTGGATGTTCCTGAGGCTGTGTTCCCAGGAACAAAGTGGCTTGTGCAACTATTAGAAATTCCCATTTCCAAGCCTAAAACTGGTCACTAAAATCCCTCGTCTGACATCTCACATCCCCACAGCCTGAGTAGGTTTTTTGGACAGCATCAGCTCACTGGACATGCACCAAACACCGGCCAGGAGTGGAAAATCCAGTGAGATTCCATTGTAACTCCACACAGCTGCTTCAGGACATCCTGGAAAAGCAAAACCCCCACGGCAGGTGGTTGGGCTGGATGATCTTCAAGGTCCCTTCCCACCCAAACCATCCTGTGATTCCATGGAAAGGCCACAGCATGTCCCCTTTCTCATCCAGCTGTTTTCCACTCTCCTGTGCACAGGGATAAGGCTGGGCCAGCAGCTGGAAACACAATTCCTGCAGCTCCAGGGCTTCCCTGGGAGCAAAGAGAAGCTCCAGCTGCTACATCTGGAGATGCTTAAAGCTGCTCCACATCACAGTCCAGCTCAGACTACAAGGATTTGTATCCAGATTTGCTGTTTCAGAGAAGCTTCAGAGAACACGGAGACAAGGCTGGGATTCCTGAGGCATCTTCCAGAGTCCAGAACAGAACACTGGAAAGATAGAGAAAGGTGTCTGGATCTCTGTCATGGGCTGCTGAGTGACCTTTGGCTCATGCCTTCCCTTTTTTGTGCCTCTTCTTCCTCTGATGGCTTGGGATTCCTGCATCACCAGGGAAATTTTGGGGATCTGTGGGCGCTCACAGGTGCCACCAGGGGGTTAGATAAAGGTTAAACAAAGCAAAAAGCATCGTTTGACCTTGAGTATTCCCACAGGGATACAGGCACAGACCCGGACATCCAGCTATTCCCGTTCGGAATTTCTGATTTTGGGAGCCAGCCTGACCAGCCCTGGAGAAAAAAAAAAAAAAAAAAATCACCTTCACATCCCAACCTCCTTCATTCTTGCTGACAACCACGAAATCAATGCAACGCTGCAAAATGAATCCCAGCACGGCGCTGATCTTGTCTGCAGAGCGAAGATTCCGCGGAGAGGATCCCGAAGGCTGCAGGGGTTGGAGATCTCCGTAGGATGGTGCTGTTGCCACATCATTGCACGAACCCCCTCCCGGAGCGTGGGAGCGGCGCAGACTGTTTGTTTAAATAATCCCGGCGACTTTCAGAGCATCAAAAAACGCATTTGACTTTTTTTTTTTTTTTTGGTTATTTTGCTAATTGCTGAGCTCTTCTGCTTGTGAGAGGCTCGAGGTGCGGGATCCCTGCCAGCTCCGGCTGCCGACGCCGCGCTCTTCTCGGAGTTGTTCGCTGGGGAAAAAAAAGGAGGGCATTTTTCCTTCACCTACGCTTTGGGATGGAGTGGGGAGTGGGGAGAGCAGCCTGGGATTGACCACAAAGCGGTTCTGTGCTTGCTGTGCCCTCACAAAACACTCTCTGACCCCCTCACATTCCAGGAGTTGCAGCTT